TCTATCCTCACAACAACCTTGTGAGGTAGATTAGGCTGACAGTCTTTGACTGGCCCAAAGAAGTTGGATCTGCCAAGTCCCACTGAAACACTCCCAGAACCGTACCATGCAGGACCCAGTCTCAACATAGAGATCTGCCATCGGAATAAATTAGTGAGTGACAGGCAGTTGCAGGCATCACATCACCTCGGCTTAGGGAAGCAAGGGCTGATCCTCGTGTCTGAAAGCACCAAAGCTGGACATAGTTCTCATCTGCCTCCATTTAAAGAAATAATTTTCTCACTGTCATGACAATTTCAAGGGCAGTTCACCTCTTTGCCAGAGTTCTTCCCCAGTGCAGGATGTTTATACATCAGGAGAGAAATGGGGAGGGGAATGGCATCAAGGGGACAGGATTGGCAAACCCCAGTAACAGGCAGATTAAATCTTCCCTTAACCTTCCTAATCCTGGGGTCACCTGGCCTTTTGAAGGCACGCTGGTCATAAGCCACTTGATGCTTTGCAACCTGAAACAAGCAACCTGCAGTTCTTAGACAGATTCAAGGTTTGCAGTATGCAAGAAGGATCTGGGCTTTTCCTGTGTGCAGTTAAACATATTTTTCCTGGCCACAGACTACAATTTTACATTTCTACAGTGCATGAAATGTAACATTTTTCCAAGGAATTGTTGGAATTAAAATGGAGGCAGAGCAGTGAAGATCTATGAGTGGCTATTTTCATTCCCCACAAAGCTCCAGAATGAGACTACATCAAATCAATTGTGGGAAATTTAAATGGCAGCCTCCAGATCCTTCACATTGATTGGGATGCCTTTGTTTGCTGGTGCTACCATTTAGGCTTACTCAGAGAGGAGTAGTGGGCACTAAAGTTATCCAGTGAGGACCAGAGGGCACTGATGCATGAGGGTTGTGCTGTTGTTGAAAGAAATTTCACTTGCAAAATCAGTATCAAGAGCAACAATATCCGTGGGGGAAAGCAAAGGAGAGGTGTTAGGAATTCACACTGAGCCACTGAGAAGATACACCATCTTGTAAAAGAGAAGTGACGTGCAGGGAATAGTTCAGTGGTAAAGTGAATGTTTTGTACCTTACTACTGAGCTACTTCAGAAGATTCTGAACTGAATTGTTGGGTCAAATAATTATGCTGGAGAAAGAACACAAACTAGAGAACCCCAGGTGTATGATTGCTTGGAGGAGCAGCCTTTCATACCAGAAATAAGAACTGCTGCGTGTCCTCAATGGAAGATGGATGTGAGAGAACAGAATGGTTAATAAACACATCAAGGTACTGTGATGAAATTTTAAGACTGAATCAGAACTGGAAATGAGGACACTTCCTGGGGAAGAAAAGGGGAACAGGTATGTGAATCTTATGTAACAAGCATTTCAATGAGACTCTGAAATGTGGAGTAATTAGACATGTACATATCTTAGTAATGCATCCTCCACTGACAATTTAATTACAGAAGATTTAGCATGATATCTTCCTTTTGGCTGGAAAATATTTACAACCTATATGATGACTGCTTCTAAATGAGAGAGATATTTGTCTTAAAATGGGTTTTCCCAAGTGCTTTCCTGACCACCAACCACCCACCCGCCCACACTGGCTGGGATGCAGCGTTCCCAGTCAGAAGCCTTCCAAGCATTTATCATTTCGCTCAATGCTGCCCATGAGCCACGTCAATCTGTCTTCAGAGCTTCTTGCAGAGAATTCTTTTCAAGCTCAGTGGCCGTTCTGTTAATTAAAGCTTATGATGCCTTTACAGGTGCTATTTTCATTCACTTTAATCCTTTGATAGAGCATGGAAGAAATCTATGCAGTGGTTTTGATTTAGTGTTGTCATTCGCAAGGAAGATCAGTCGCATTATTTACCAAGTCTATTTTTAATGCTGGTACAACCCGGGGTTTATATATGAATGATCCACTGAGCACAGACTCATAACTGGAAATGAAATACTGTGTCTCAGGGAAATGCTCTTCCATTGTGCTTCAGAACCAAGCCAATCCCTAGCCTATATTCTTAGAACAGCAGCAATAGTCGAACCGTCAATCATTACATAATGAACCTGGAAAGATTGTCCCCACACTGTCAAACACATGGTGCATAAACGCCTTACTGATCACAATCACAAGCAATATTTCTGGACAAGCTGTCTGCACAGATGTTTAAAAAATGCTAACCTACAGTCATTGGAAAATAGTAAGCTGTGTATATTTTGCTTAATATAAAATATAGGCTGTGCAGGCACGAGGCAGTTACAGGACAGGTTTTGATGCCGTAAAAGGTCCTCCTGCTGTCACTGGTGCAGGGGTTTCACTGGGGGCAAAGGCCAAGATCATCCACACTATTTTATTCTCGACCACCATGGCATGAAAGCTGGAGAATGCAGAAAAATGGCAGGAGGAAAATTGATGCATTTGAAACATGGTGCTGGAGGAGAGCTTTGTAAATATGCGGAAAGACCAACAAGAGTGGTTTAGAACAAATCAAGACTGAGCTTTATTTTGAGCACATCGTGAGAAGGCCAAACTTCCTGGGGAAGACAATCATGCTAGGGGAAATCAAAGGCAGTGGAAGAAAAGGGAGGCCAGATGTGAGATGCATTGACTCCAGAACGGAAGCCATGGCTTTGCAAGAGCTGAGCAGATCTGTCATGGATAGGACATACATATTGGAGTGTTTTCACTCAGAGGGTCAACACAAGCTGGAGATGATTTGACAGCACATAACAACAACAACAACAACAACAAAAGCTCCTGTGCTTTCACCTGGGTAGTTACTACAAAGCAAAAAAATACAGGATCCCCAATCATAGCCCCCCAAAAGTGCACAAGGCATAAGGGAACTTATGGAATGGCACCAGATAAGGTATAAGCAAAGTAAATGTACAGCTGTTTATAAATATACATATAAACAATTGATTATGCACTCCAAATTGCACAGGAAGTGAATATTTCCCTGCATATGAAACACATAATCTCATATTAATCACTTCCAGAGCATTATCTCAAATGGTTCATTCTAATGGGAGGCCTGGTGTGTTACCATTCACACTCATAAAAGTCTGCCTCAGAAGCTTTATAGACCACTTCTTTTCATTACACACATTCACACATACACATGATGGACACTGATCACATGCCATGTTTTTGATACATATTTATAAATTACTGTAAATGTATTTCTTTTGTGTGGTATATTGATTGTTCTGTAAGCTTCCCTTGGATGGAGCCATGGGCCAGGAGCACGTCAGCTGTATGCTGATGCGCAGCCAGTCTGTGCTCTCAGACAGATGGCTCCTTGCATCACCAATCAAAGGACACTGTGAAGCGATTCTGTCTTTTCCTCCTGACGGGGCTGTTCTTGAGGAAGGAAAAAGAGAGATGTGTATATATATTATATTTATATCCCACATTTTCTCCTTTCAAGAACTCAAGGCAGCTTACATAAATTTTCTTCTCTTCTCAATCTTCTCTTCACGGCAACAGCCCTGTGAGGTAGGCTGGGCTGAAAGCCTGTGAGTGGCCCAAAGTCACCCAGTGAGCTGCATGGCTGCGTGGCACCTGGAACCCAGACCCCCTGAGTCCTGGCCCTGCACTCTTGACCACTGCATCGCACTGGCTCCCGTGGTAGAGAAACATCGCATGGCTGCAAGCGGAAGGGGGTGATTTCGCCTTCTCTTGCAAATTCCGTGAACGAGTCAAGGCAAGGGCATGCTGAAAGGCCCCTGTAGCGCTTTTTATCAGGGTTCTGTGCCAAATGTTAAAGAATAGCCACAGCACTGCACCGAAACTCGTGCTCCTGCATCTGTGTGGCATGAGGCTTCTGCCAGCTCACCACTCTACCTATGGACACCTCTTTTGCTGCCTCTTTGCCCTTCCTAATATTTTATTTCCCCCCTCCGATTATTTTTAAATGAATAAACTGCAAGATCAAGTACTGTCCCCCAGTACTATCCTTATTAGGGTTCAAAATAAAAGTTTTGTGTTTCAGCATTTGGACCCCACCTTTACCTTGTACTTCAGTTCTTGAGTAAGTTATATGCGTTAGTTTTTGTCTTGGCCATGCCATTATAGCAGCCATTTCAGGAATGATTCACCCCTTCCCTCTATGGTAGGCATTTTGTGAGAGTGCCTATGATTCCCTCCTGATTTGTCAAATGTGTCTGCTATCCCCCAAAAGTTGGTGGGGGGGGGGGCTGGTCTAGTGCTATGCTTAGCTGAACAAGTAAAAGAGCCCTTCTTATCCCAGTGGATGCCCACGGGGTCCCAGTAGCTTCCCATGCTTGCTAGCCAACACTGGACAGTGCAGCTTCTATGTTACAGATTCTGTCCCCTTCCAGACCAATACTGCAGAGATTGTAAAGCAGACATTACACCTGGCCCTTTCTTTTGGGGTGCTGCCAAATCCATGGGCAAAACAGTTTCAGGCAGCCTGCGCTCCACTACTGAGATCTTTCTCTCTGCACTGTGAATTGCAAATAGGATCTTTAGGAAAGAGGAAGGATGGATGCAATGCAAGTGGCATTTTTTGTATTAGGTATATCAGCAGCAGTATATCAACAGCAGCCTTTAAAGGGTCACTCCCAAGCTTGGATGCCCTTTCAGTGAGTTGGCCAGAGTGGCCCATCCCCTTCTTGCTGACGTCTGACTCGAGATTGTACATCAGACTTTCCCCAGTGGAGATGGAGAATGAGCATCAATGAAAGCTGCCGGCTTGCAGCCTTAAAGGGACTGCAGGCACTGGGAACATATTTCCTTGGCTTCTGTTTGCTTCCCTGAGGCACTGAGCCAGAAATACCGGCAGGAACACTGGAGAGGTTATCTATCATCTAGCAATACAGGATCCATGCACTGATTTCTTCTGGACCACTTTTCTCTATCAACTGCTAGAGGGGATCTACTGCATCCTTCCAAAGATCAGACTGGATTCTGCAAGGAGGATGAGGCAGGATCACGCTGGCTGAGTAAAGTTGTGGCTTTCTGCGCTGAAACAATGGTGTTGTCTGTCCCAGTGATTGTTCTGGGAGCTACCTTGGGGGCTGCTTCCAGCCTCCTTGCCTTATGTGGTCTCACCTGCTTCTGCAAATATAAGCGAGGGGGGAAAGGATCCCCAGAGAAGGGACATGATCTGGACCCCGAGAATGCCAAACCCAGCGTGCTTCAGACAGTCCAGCAGGTAAAATAGTCTATTGATTTTACTCTACTCTCCTTCCAGAGATGCGGCAGTTCCAGAAGTGCATGTTTGGGTTGAGGTCACCCAGTGGGTGATCTAAGGTGGTTTGTTGCAACCCTCAATAGGATTTGCAGGTTTTCAGGGTGCGATGTGATGCCCTGTGCAGGAAAGAGAGCAGAAGGGGGAGCGAGGAGGGGGCTCAGGTGGCATGTGGGATTACCAAAGCAACAGCCAGCTTTTGTCTGATCGGAGAGGAAGGCGGGGATGACAAAGATGCTGCAACCCCACAGACCGTCTGGACAGGCGGGTCAGGTTCATTTGCATACAAACGAAGCCTGGACTCCAGGCAGAGAAAGCAGCGGAATAATGAGTTGTGTTTGAATGTTTCATAAGGCTTATTGATCTTTCTCTGCATGCATCTATGTACAATATGCTTGCCCTGCAGAAGGAATGCCTTCTGTATTACTCACACATTATCTGTCCCCCTCTCTCCCCCTCTGTGCGTCTTTGTGTCTGTCTCACTCTCTTTGTAGGCATGTGCATATGTTTATGTTTATTATTTTAAACATATATGTTTGGTGAATTTTTTGAATAAGGCTTCCCTGCCTGGCTTGCAGCAGAAATCTAACACTGGCAAATGTAATGACAGCTACAGAGAACCTACTGTTGCACTGTCATGTGAACTTTTCTTGAGTATTCATAGCACACCTTCAGAGACGGTTAGACCTTCTTGAATCATCTGACAGTCTGACTATGTCAAAGATGCATGAACTGAAGTTTTGGGGCACATGATTGTTCCCCAGTAGTGTCCTGACGCCTGCACCACTGACAAATTTAGTCCCTCATCACTAATTCCACTCCTCCCCATCGATACTCTGGATTCCCTCTTCCAGAGACCCTGACAGTTCTTTTCCCATGCCTGCTAGTAGCAAGAAAAGAGTGATCTGGACTGGGGATCACTGGTATCTGTGCATTTGTATATCTGTGTGCCCCAAGCCAGACTCACATATTGCCTTTGGAGCTGAAAAGTTGTGCACTCCTGGATAATGGTAGAAACAAAATTGATGAACAATGAGGAAGGTCCATTATATGGCGATTAGGAACGCAGAACTGAAGGAACAGGGGACATCTCAGCCACTGACTTATTTGTCTGAGCAAAAATGTCTCCCTTGGACTCTGAGCCATGAAAATGGTGCTCATGACCTACCACGAAGATTATTTATTTATTTATAATGTTATCACACTTCCCCCACAGATACAAAGTGATGTACAAATCAGGGCAAGTTTAAATAAAATAACATCAAATAAGAAAAATTAAAAATAAGACCTTCAAACCTTGGAGGAGCAAAATTAGAACTTTCAGTCACTCTTCACACATTAAACTGGAAGATATCCAATATACTTAATATTACAAAATAGATTATAGCATTCTGGGATTATACTGTAGTGGCTAAGCTACAGAAAGCACAAGAAAACTGGCAAAATCCAATTAGATAATTAATTGGTCACCATTCATTGCATTCTACAAATCAAATGCCATCTCTCCTAATTACAATATTACTCCTTGTGATCTTCTGGTGAAGGAAATGTTTGATTTGTCTGCTCTGAAAAAAAATTCCATTTTATTTTATTTTATTTTGGAAAAGCTAGCAGAATAGAACTATTTTCACTGTCTGAGCAAACACCACCAGCTGTGGGACTAATCTCCCCTCCTTTTGAAGGGAATTTCATAAGCAGGTTGCTGTCACTAAAAAGGCCTTTTCTGATGCTCTCACCAACTAAACCTCTTTTGGTGATCATGTGTCTGAAGATGATTTCAACCTCTGGGTAGGTTCATATTGGAAGAGTTAATCTGTCAGATATCCTGGTCACAAACAGTTTAGGACTTAATAGGAAAGTACTAGCTGAACCTGGAAACATATTGAAACTTTACTGTTTAAAAAGTGCACAGAGAAAATTCTTTGGCTGTTACATTATGCACTAGTTGTAGTTTCCAAATACATTTAAAGGGTGATTTTCTGAAAACAATGTTGCAGTAAACCAATCAAAAAGTAACTAATGCACTGTGGCATGGTCAGTCCCAGTCAGATCCACCTTAGATATCATTCATATAGGTAGCTATACTGCCTTATATTTGATTTAGGAACTTTACTTTTCATGTAAGAGCTTAAGTGTCATTTCTTCATGAATAGTGAAATTCCTACATTCATGGTCAGGTTAGCTATGATTTCTTCTTTATTCTGTCTTCTGTCTTCTCTCTCTCTCTCTCTTTCTTTTTCTTCCTTGCTACATGTTAATTGCGGAGGTTCAAATGATATATTGCCTTTGTCATTGAAACTCTTAGCTATGTTGCTATCCACCAGCATCTGATAACACTTTCCATTCTTTTTAATTGGATATCCTCCAAATGCAGAGCAAGATTAGGGTGCAAAGTGGCCATGCTCCAAGGGTATAATGGTGTAAGGCTGGCCTGCACAGACTGGGCTGGAAGAGAGTAACCTGTCAAGGGCCACCCCACAATTGCCATAACTGGCAGAAGTGGAAATGTTAGTTTGGATGCTGTTGAGGCTACCGCACCTTACTGTGTAGTCTAGAGTTAGCGTACACTCTTCTTGCAAGTTCAGGACCTCTGGTTCATGGGTGGTGGAGCTGATGGAAGACTCAGAAGATATCAGAGAACTTTAGAAAGAGTTTCTGAGTTCAGGGACAAGAGTTTAGGTCTGAGGCCAGCTCCAGCCCACCTTGGAACCCAATCCAGCCTTCTGAAGTTCTTCAGGTGGCTATGGTCCTTTCCCTGGTCTTGCCCCTTTTCCCTGGTGGCTCCCTGGCTTTTATGCTGCTTCCACCCCCTGGCTTGGCTTCAGGCAGTAAGGGGTTTCAGCTAAAATATACTGGTATTTGGGATATTTCTGGAATTTGGGGTCTGCTCCTTTTTGTCTTTGGTTCTGCTCACTATCCAAATGCTTCTCCAAAATGGAACTTAGACCTTGGGCTGCCCTGAGTTAATATATCAATTTAAGTGGGACTCCCAATGGCAGGTCTGCAAAGGACAGTTCCCAATGAACACTTGGCACAAAAATAATTGCAGGTGAGAAAGATCTTGGAATTGTTGTAGATCACAAGCTGAATATGAGTCAACAATGTTATGTAGTTGCAAAAAGGGCAAATGCTATTTTAAGCTGCATTAATAGAAGTATCCCTTCCAAATCCAGTAAAGTACTAGTTGCCCTTTACTCAGCACTGGTTAGGCCTCATCTGGAGTACTGTGTCAAGTCCTGGATACCACAGTTTAAGAAAGATGCAGACAAGCTGGAAAGAGTTCAGAGGATGGCAGCAAGGACAATCCAGGGACTGGAAACAAAGCCCTATGAGGAGAGTTTGAAAGAACTGCACATGTTTAGCCTTGAGAAGAGAAGACTGATGGGAGATATAATAGCACTTTCCAAGTACTTGAGAAGCTGACACAAAGGGCAGGAGGAAGGGCAGGATCTCTTCTTGATCATCACAGAGTACAGGACACGGAATGGACTCAACTTACAGAAAACCAGGTTCTGACAAGATATCAGGAAAATTTTCTTGACTGTTAGAGCAGTATGATAATGGAACCAATTGCTTAGGGAGGTTGTGAGCTCTCTCACACTGGAGGCATTCAAGATGCAACTGAACAGCCATCTGAGAGGGATGGTTTAACTTGGAGTCTTACACTGACCAGAGGGTTGGGCTCAATGGCCCTCTGGCCCTTCCAAGTCTACTATACTATGATTCTATCAGTCCTTGGGGATTGGGTGCCAGTGCTAGTTCAGGGGACTGACAAGCAAAGTCGACATTGCTAGTTCAATGGACCACTGTCTGCCTGCATTGGGTCATTCCTCTTATAATTCCATGAGCTTCAAGCAGTTTAATTTTCTTCCAGAGCTCAGTCACTGAAATGCAGCACTTGTGTGCAAAGTGCTTTACAATCCCAGTTCCACACTGCAGCACCACCACAACAAGGCAGTGCATTCCATAAAAGCCCACGATGAGCCATTCTCAGTTTTTCATGGAATCAGGAAATGTGAGAACCATCACTTCTCCTGACTCACACCTTCATCCTCTGTTATGTGAGAAGTTAATGATGTCAGTCATCTGCACGTGCATGAAGAAGCATCTCCTCTGACTTTGGCAGGTTTGTTCCCAAAGTTTGATCTGTGCATAGCTTGATTTAAATGTAGCACTGATCACAAAATCTGGCACGCATGAAACAGTTTTTCCTACATGCACAGATTCCATCAATCTGGAGAGAGGAACGTGTGGCTCCTGAGAGGTTTTTGGCCTGTATCTACTATGTTGTGTCAGTTAGAGACGACAAGTTGCAGCCCAACAACAGCTGGAGGATCACACAACACCCCCCCCCCCAATCTATCCTTTTTTTCACTCCTTGTATTTGTGTTGACCTGGATGGCATGAACACACTCTGATGCTAGAATTTGGTGGTTGCTTCACACACACAAATCAGCATCTTATGTTACAATCAACCAGCATGTAAAATGCCTGTGTGGATTGGCACGGCAAGTACAAGTCATAGTAGAAGGTATCCTCAGATAACTTTCCCATTTAATTCTGAGATTTGCTTTTCCTTTCAAAATGAAAAAGGCTTCTCTTGCCAGAAACAACCCTTCCTTTCCAAATGTCTGTTTTAGAAGACTTGCATATGTGTTCCAGATCTGAGCCTTAAATGGGTTTGTTTGTGTGGGAAGTATATTTTATCCAGATCCATTTATATCACTTGCTTAACACACATACTCTATTATAGTTGTTTTCTATCAGTGAACAAGGCTTGTTAGTATCTGGAAATTGTGAGAGCGAAGAAGCTAGATTTCCCACACATAATTGTTTTGTTGTCTTTCAGTATTACAAGAAATGTCATGGATTCCAAAAGGCATCTGAAATAATAAATGCAGCTTATTGAGATCTTTTTAAAAACAAAAGTCTGTCAACCTGACAAAACTGCATTTTTATTTTTATTTTGAAATGGGCATGTATACCTTACAATGGTGATCTTCTACTCTAAGACAGCTGATGCCTCTTCAACCTAGCAACTAGTCCATTGTATTTTCTTTTTCAACCAATGCCAGAGAAGAAAGCAGAAGGGTTATTTAAAATCCTGATGCTTGACAGATTTCCCAATATCCCTGTACTTTCTGAATGAATAGTCTGGTATATGAAAGGATGACTGCATTTCTATTTACAAAGGAGATTAGGTTTTAAATCATCAGCTGCCACAATCTGGGTAGCACAGTTTATACTATCTATGACAATCAGAAGTAGAAGCACATGAAGAAGAGTGGATTGGGCCCCACTGTGCTTAATTGTGTCTCCTATTGGGGGATATCAGTTGATATGTGATGGTGCATTGCCTGGTGGAGTGTCTGGCTTTCAGCAAGGAATGATGGCTACAAGAACAACTCAGCCATATGTGGCACTTTTCAGTTCAAAATGATTTCTCTGCTGCTTGCAGAATCTAAACTATATTAGGACATGTCCATCCAGAAATGCACTGACTGCTGCTATAGTCAAAAACATCCATTTGGGGACTGGTCCTTATATTTGTGAAAACACAATAACACACAGTAGTGATAATATTTTGTCCATTTAGACCAGTCCAAATCTTTTTAAAAATGGGAAGGCTCTTTTAAAAAATTATATTTGGTCCCGTTAAAGCCAGCCCAAGGAGACCCAGCTCCAAGATTAAAAACACAGATGCATGTTGAAAACCTGTCACAACATTTGTCTATTTAGATAACCTTATCTACTCCAGCAGTGGGCAATTTGTGACCCTCTAGATGTCTTGGCCTACAAATCGCATCATCTTTCACATTGGCTGGGGAAGCTGGGAGCTGTGGTCAGTCATCTGGAAAGCTGAAAATTACCCACCCTTGCCCTGCTTGGAGTGGCATTGACTCTCCGGGGCAGGAGCGCCCAAATTGGAAGCTTTGCCTGTTCCCCATGCAGCCTCCAAAGTCAGGAGAAGCCACATCCCGCTGCAGCCCAGTAGGTCAGCTGCCACCCTCCCAGCTGGCCCTGGGTGCTGAAAAAACTTGGGTACCCTGCTCTAGATTCTCAAGCTAATGTGTTTCTCATTGGCTGTAACTATTTCACTTACATTAATTGAAAATGCCAGGAATTCAGCCTGGGGCTATTATTACACAAAGCACGCACTCTGCTCCTTAGGCTTGGGCCTTTCATGACTGGGTCTAGTAAGAAGAACTTCTGCTAATGTTTTTCATGTCATCAGATGTTGTACTGCCTGTGGGTATCAGTGATGGCTAAATACACATTGCAGTCAATGTAATGCCATATGTACAGCTCCCAATGACTTGTGGTTAGGACCATTACACCTGAATCTGTCACTTGCTGTCTCAGTACAGAGACTCCTGGGGTGGCAGGAAAAATGGCAACAGTCCATGGCATCCTAGCAGACAGACTGCCCTCATATGATCCTGTGATCAGTCACCTAGGAAGGAGGAGCCAATAGCCTATTAGTATTATTATGATTATTAATTGTAATATTGCCCAAGAGCTTCAAGCTCTTTGGGTGCTTTATTATCATTTGCTTTCTTTACTAATTCTGGGATGCACTCATTCCATGAGCCTTGCAAGAACCATGGTGATGAAGCCCAATACTATGACTCTTTGCAGTGCCTTGGGAATTGAAAAGGTCCCCAGGGGACATGCAGATTGACAAGCAAAAGACCTGTCTCCAGCAAATGTTTTCTCTGGGGCACTGTCCCTATATATTATTAACAAGACCAAAAGAAACTGATGAAAAACATTAATTACAGTTTAAAAGATGTCTTTCTTTTGGTTTAAGCTTGAGAGAGAACTGAAAGGCATTGGCAGTCAGTGCATAGTCTAACTGTATAGCCATAGCACTGGTCGTGTTTCTACGGCTTGTCCCCTGAATGCTTTCTAAACATGGGCATGAATTGACTGGGGTGCTTAGACATTCCTGCTCCCAACTGGGATGGCTTTGTGTGAGCAGTTTTAGCCATGGCTTCCTCCGGGCATCATATGGACTGCCCAATGGAAGTATGCCCCTGGCTTTGACCTTTCTGCAGGATGGTCTTCTCTGCCTGGCACACAGAGCATGACATGGAGCCAATTGGGATTTTCCCCAAATGGATTCTAAGCCATGTAGCAGAGAGTCAAATGATGCTCTATTTATGTTGCATATAGCTAAGCTTTTTCCTCCCTGCTTCCCTTAAGAGAAAGTGTGCAGGCATGAGCCCAGTGTGTTTGGGACTAGAATGCACTAGAAGGAGCAAGATTAAACTTTTATTCCATATGTTTATTTGCAACCCCCCACACTAGCAAATTTGCGCCCTTCCAATTTAAAAAGTGAGGGGCAGCCTTTGATTATACCAGGATGCTTTTTAAAAATCCCAATGTGACAGTGGGCAGAATTTTGGGAAGCAAAAGGTATTGGGGCCGGGGGGGGGGGGATTTTCATCCCACATAGTGCACTGGGCCTGATTCAAACTGGAACCATGCACACTTGGTTCCAATTTTACTCTCATATAAAATAAGACGATGAAGAGAGAGAACTTGTCTCAGCTACACACTGTGCAATTAAGGCAACATGTAGTTTGAGTTAGACAGATCTGTGAAAAGAGGAGGAAAGGATCTTAGAGTGTATGATCCTAGAGGACTCAGTAACAGTAGGAATTGTTGAATTTCCTTAAAATCTAGATTGATTTCCGAAATATGGTGTGTTCTGTGAGTGATGTATCAGCCCATGTTCCCTGTTGAAGCAACAACACTTTTGCTGTGATCAGTTGTAATGTAATATTGTTAGAGTAATGGAAGGGATCTTCTTTTCCAGTTCAACGTTGAGAAGACAGCAGAACCTGTACAGCCCAGGACAATCTTAAAGTTTCCCCATATCTATGGCCCAAAGCCTGTAGTGACCTCTTCGGAAATTGTTAACTGTGCAGACTACACCTTGAAGACAACAAAAGAGCAAAGGAAAGGGAAACCTGGAGCTCTGGATGAGAAAAGGGTGAACATACAAGTCAATGAAGAGTTATTTCTTCCCCCTCAAAATGGTAGGCACTGTGCCAAACTGCTCGTGGTTGCTTTGCTTCCAGTTCCAAGTAGCAATCATAATGAGTTTCCTCTTTCTGGCAAAGGAGCCCAGCAAATACTCCATGGGCAGCTTAGTAAAAAAAAAAAAAAAAGGCTACAGTTAAGTGTGGGAGCTTAATACAATATACATGTAGACTTCAATGCAAAGGTGTGAGGCATGAAATCTTTAATCAATAGTAAATCTAGATTATCGTAACCTTGAGCAAATTCTGAGTAATTGATCACATCTGGTGACATTTCAGCTTGATTTTTCAGCACCCTATTGATTTTTTACTCTTCCACAGTCATCCTCTTAACAGTACAATTTATTATTGAGCAATCATTCAGAGTTCAGGGGACTTTTCCCAGCAGGCTAAGACTCTTGCTTTATAGAGGGGAAAAAACGGCTTTTGGTGCTATGATTTTTTCAGCTTCTTGGAGTTACAGTGCCCTGAGCCTTCTCTGTGTTTTTGAAGGCCTGTAGGCAAGGGACCCTCAATGCCCCCCTTCCCTCAGTGAAGCTCACCGGCAATGCCACCAGCTTCTATTTTTATTCTTCTGCTTCCCCATCCTTACAACCACTTGCTTACTTGACTGGTACTCAGTCAATGAATATGAAGGTAGTGGCATTGATTCCTCCTCCTTCTTGTCACCACTGTAGTCAGAGGGAGAGGAAGGTGAACAAGCATTTGCAACAGTGAAAAAGAATTCACTCAGTGGCCTCTTGCTTTTTGGCCCCTGCTAGGGCGTGGATCCTTGGCAGATGCCCAATCCGCCCGATGCTGATGCTGGCCATTACAGTGCCATTGCTCCAGCAATTATTACAGAATTTCTGTACAATGCAATCTAAATGTTTTTAAGTGTATGTTTGTTTTTCATTTTTAATTAATTAGTTTGTTTATCCTGCCTCATTAGCCATAAGGCTCCCTGGGTGGGTTATAGATGAAAATATACAATCAGATAAAATAACAATGTAAAATAACACACTTTTTATATTAGTATCATTTTTTTCCTGTGGACAGCCCAGAGAACTTACTGTTAATGGGTGATCTAAAATTTCTGCAAATTAAAAATAAAAGTTTTAGATAGATCCAAAACAGAAATCATAGTGCAATAACAGAAAAACTGCTCCAGTGATATGAGTGGACACAAAACAGTAGGTCTGTATTAGAGATGGGACACCAAGGTATATTTATGTAATGCTTTCAATGAATTAAAACCAAACAGTAGAGCACAATGATCCACAGAAGGCATGGGCTTCACATTCTCCCCCTGCATGAATTTCAGGTGGCATGAAGGACGTGTGTGTCACTGAGCGCCTGAGTCCTGAGATTGCCGGCGTGTGCAACCAGGTCCCAGAACTTCGCTATTCTCTTGGCTACAACCGACAGAAGGAAGCACTGTGTGTTGCTTTTCTTGAAGGTAAGGAAGCGTTTTATCGGCCCTTGGGTGCAGCCTTTGTGCAAGCCAGGCATGTGAGGAGGAGGGAAGGGAAAGGGGAAGCGGAAGAGGAAGGTGAGAAGATGCCAGGAAACCATGTGTTGCATGAGGATCATTACTCCTCTGCTCCTGTTTTCCATCCATAAGAAGAGATGCTCAGCTCTTTTAGCGTATGGCACACAGGGTTTTTCTGTATAAAATAAGATGGTAACAAAAGCTGGCATACTAAATTCATTATGAGCCAGATTACTACGCCTATTTGTGTGGAAATGCATTTATACTTGACCAATTTATACTGCTACTAATTATTATCATCATAATTATAATTAGGGGTATTTAGAAACATAGAAACAGAGCAAGTTAGAAGGGGTCTCCCAGGCCATCTAGTCTGACCCCCGGCTCCAGCCGGCTCTGCTCACGACATGCCCACCATGTGCATGTCCAGCCTATCTTTGAACACCCGCACCGATGGGGCCTCAATGACCTCTCGGGGAAGCCCATTCCATACCCTCGGGGTCCTGACTGTCAGGAGGTGCTTCCTGGCATCCAAACGGAACCTTGGCTCCCTGAGCTTTGCTCCGTTGGAGTGTGTCCTGCCCTCCTCTGCAGGGGTAGAACAGGTCTCTACCCATCTCCGTGTGACATCCCCTCACATACCAACAGATCCCCTCTGAGTCTCCTCTTCTCCAGGCTGAAGAGACCCAGTTCCCTCAGTCTTGCCTCATACAGCATCCCCAAACTGGCCACCAACCTTGTCACTCTACGCTGCACTGACTCTAATCTGGCTATATCCTTTCTGTAATGGGTGGCCCAAAACTGAGCACAATACTCCAGTTGCGGGTGTACCAGAGTCATATAGAGTGGTAGTAATACCTCTCTTGATCTTGAAGCCACACTTCTGGCTATGCAACCAGGGGTGGCATTCACTCTCTTGACCACCGCATCACACTGCTGACTCATGTTTAGCCTGCAGTCAACCAGCACCCCGAGGTCCCTTTCACAAGTGCTGCTCTCCAGCCACTTGTCACCTAACCTGTACTTATGACAGCTATTCCTATGCCCCAAGTGCAAGACCTTGCACTTATCCACATTGAACGCCATCCTCTTGTCTCCTGCCCACTTCCATAGTCTGTCCAGATTCTTTTGGATCTGGAGTACCTGCTCCTCAGTTGTGGCCACTGCTCCAGTTTTAGTGTCGTCTGCGAATTTGATCAGCAGACTGTTCACCCCTTCTTCCATGTCATTTATGAAAAGATTAACAGGATCGGCCCCAGGACAGAGCCCTGGGGGACCCTGCTTGTCACTGGCCGCCATCCCAATGATTCCCCGCTAATGGTTACCTTCTGCTTTCGGTCAGTCAACCATGCCCTAATCCACCGGACAGTGCTTTGCTGTATCCCAAAACTCCTCAGTTTCTCCACCAGGATATCATGGGGCACTTTGTCAAAGGCCTTGCTGAAATCCAGGTAAATCACATCCACTGCATCCCCTCCATCTAGCCATCTCGAAACCTTGTCATAGAATTCCACAAGGTTTGTCCGGCAGGACCTGTTTTTGCGGAAGCCGTGTTGTGTGGCTGCCAGCCTCCCTTCCCTATCTAGCATCATTAGATCTCTCTCTATTATGAGCCTTTCCATTGTTTTTCCTACAATGGACGTAAGGCTAACCGGTCTGTAATTCCCCATGTCCCTTCTACTACCCTTTTTGAAAATTGGGACCCCTGATGACACCCTCCAGTCCTCTGGAACTTCACCCATTCTCCACGAGGCCTCAAAAATGGAGGCCAGAGGGCATGAGAGAACCCCTGCCATTATATAATTATATAATATATAATTAGGGTTATATAATTATTAGGGTTCTTGCTGCTGCTGTTACAGCTTGTCATATTTGGTAGTTTTCATGTCAAAATTTACTAAGGGTACAATCCTATGGTTGTTAGGTAGTGACTGTCTGGCTATAGGAAAAGGTATAGTCTCCATTGTGACCTTGGAAATGCTTTCTGGTATTTAGAGCCAAAGTTCTTCCTTTGAACATTCAAAAGCTGCATGCTGTTTTCCTTGTAAACTATTCTTTATTGACCCCAAAGCAGAAATCACCCAGAATGACTCTCTGAGCACGCACAGAGCAGCTTGTGAACCTCCAGGAACTCTTCTTATGAACATGCCTGGGCCCCATCCTTTTGGGAAGGGCCTTCTGAAAGCCAGCATGCCTCTTCTGTGCACTGATCCTGTAACTGGGCTGCTGACACTGCATCCCGGGGTCAAGAGCCGGGGCTGCCTGGCCTTCATCTAACAAACTCCCATGTTCAGGGCCCCTCCTGCCTGCTGTGTATCTTTAATATTCCCCTGGGCTGCCTCCCCATCTGAGGGCCTGGCCTTGAAAGGAGAGCCTCTGCTCCTTCCATCTCCATGTCTTAGCATGGCCCCCCTGCTCTAACCCTCTCCCAGTCTGTTTCACTTTCCAATTCAGATTCCTCTGAAGTCCAGGGAGCAGTCCTTGAGAACAGGTGCCCAAAGCCATCATTCTTCTCACGCCCAATACCTGAGGTCTCCGGGGGGGGGGGGGTCTGGCTTGGATAGGCCCCCTTCTGCCCTCCCAGTCAGCATGGTTCTTTCCATGCCAGCTGTCGTGATGAAGAGGGAAGGCCATTTTGGAGCAGCTCAGGGAGTGCACCAGAGTGAGCTCATGCCATTCTACAATGTATCCAGGCAGCGCCTTAGACTTTCCACCTCATGAGGAGGGGAAAAACATGTAGGCAGCCAAAACTGGCAATCCAAGCTTCCAGGATCCTCCTGTCCTCCATTGCATGCCTGTCCTCTTCTGAATTTGGAGGGTTACAGACAACCAGATAGGATGGTACCCTAAATGTACAATCCTTTGCTTGCTTAAATGGAAAAAAGTTCTACTGTTGGGAATGAATGGGACTGTTATTCCTGGCACCTTTTCCAAGGTCAGGCAGGTAGGGACACATCAAGTGGTGAGGGATCCTGGGAACCAGAATTCTCAGATATTGAAATGGGTAGAAAGTGGGGAAGGGGGGAATGCATGGTCCAGTTGCTTCTTCCTGCATGGTCATTCCTGGTCTAATAGCCCAAAGTTAACTGGAAAGGGATCATTAGGTATGAACTGGGCCAGTGAGTTCAAAGCTTATTTGGGAATTTAATTCTGAATCCTAGCTTTAATTTTGAACATAAATCCACTGGACTATATTCCTTTGGTCCCTTTCATACTTCTAGTGACATCCCAAATCATCGTACAAGGTGAGAGATGGAATACTACCCATAACAAGCAATTGCTACAAGCATTTTTCAAAACTTATTTATTATACTTGCATGAGGACAAATTTGTTCCATGTGCCCCCCATTTAAAACAAAAAGTTGACTTAGGTAATTGTTATTTTCTTTTAAACATATTTAAGAACCATCCACTTATTGGTAGGAGCCAGCAAAAGGTTCAAGTAAATAGATAGGTTTAAGTTTAACCCTTTTGTTTCTCTGTGTGTCTCTCTCTTGCTCTCTCCTTCCGATTCCGTAGTTATGTATGGAGCCACAACAGGAGACCAAAGCAATGGCTGTGATTGCTACATCCTAGCCACTTTGGTGAGCAAGTCTGGTATTACTGAAGCCCAGACTGTACTGAAGAAGAAGCAGCCCCATATTGTCTGGGAGGAAGCTCTGCTGCTTCCAGTCAAGGAAGATGAACTACCTGAAGGGATACTGACACTCACCTTGAGGAACTGTGACAAGTTCTCCAGGCACAGCATTGTGGGGGAAATTAAGACATGTCTGACTAACGTGGGGGACCCATATGGAGAAGTGCAGTGTGAGAAGATGAAGACCCCTGACAAGGTATCCCACCCCACCCCATCCCTACAGTCAGATATCACTGACACAAGTATAATTTCTGAGTGAGTTTAAATGGATGATGGATGAATGGACGGAGAGACAGATGTGATGGATGGCACTGAACCAGAATGGGAGTCCTGGGCTTGTTTCACTCCACAGACACAATTGCAGATTTGTTTTTGGATCCTTTGAAAAACATTGTATTGATAGAAAATTCCATTTGGCCACACTATGAAAAGAGCATCTATAGTTGTAAAGTTTGAATTCACTAGAGCTCAAACACTTGCTTACTCTAATGAATTATTCCTAGGTTATTCCCATTTTCATCTCTGCTTATTGGAAAAAAGGTGTAAGGAGCTTTATTTATTTACTCCATTCCATACTAGCCAATATCCAATGTTCTCTGGGTGGCTTACAAAATCTGATTGCCATCTTAGGAAGAGTGACAACAAGAATGACCTCAATCAACTTGACAGTTCTTTTAAACCTAGTTCCTTTGTCTACTTGCCCACTCTGGCTTTTGTCCATATTACAAGCCACTTGCTTTTCGCTATTTGTGAGCAGAAGTGAAACCAAGCCACAGAGAGTGCCTCCACTTCTTTTTGCCCTAAGGGACTGGAGGAAATTTCTTCTAGCCCAGCAGTCTGTTCACACAGTAGCCAACCAGCTGTTTGCAGGGAACCCAGAAGCAGGGCTTGAGTGCCAGCGCACCCATGCCCCTCAGCAACTGACCCACAGGGGTATATTGGTGCTGATACTGGTGGCAGGATATACCCATCTGGATGATTAATATTAACCTATTACAATGATGCCCTACCTTTCTTCCTCTTGCAAGGACCCCATGGCAGTTCCACGGCAGCTTCTCCTCCTCTCCATTTTATTCTCACAACTGCAACCTTGTGAGTAGGTGAGGCTGAGAGTCAGTACCCATCTCAGACTCACCCAGTGAGCTTCATGGCTAAGTGGAGACTAGAACCTGAATCATCTCCCAAGTCCCAGTGCAATGTTCCAACCACTGCAGAAGACTGGCTACCAATAGTAACCATTGATAGCCTCATGCTCCCTGAATTTGTCCAACCCATTTAAAAGCCATCACTTTTCTTTCTGTCACCCTTTCTGCTGCTAGCTGGAAATCTATTTCTCCTTCCATTGTTTGTTTGTTCTGGCTGCCTCTACCAAGAGACTACAGAGTTTCGAAATTTTACTGAAAAAATCTGAATGGATACACACAACACAGATGTGCACACCAGCTAGCCACACATACACCACTACAAAACACAACTCAGGCACAACATCCATAGAGGCTATGAACCTACCTGGACTCGTTGCTATTTTATCCTACTTCCCTATCAAGGTCATGGCTTACTGTCAAAGGTACAGCATTCAAAACCATTTCCAGCAGTTCTGACTCTTTCTGTCCTTCATTCCTTAGTTTTCCTTCTTCTTGTGTGTCCCTGTTTCTAAGGCTTTTTATTTTAAAATTGGTTATTTTCCCTCCACATCTCCAACCAACCAAGAGGGGGGTTTATATTAATCTTTCCTTAACTTCCATTTTCTAAGGTATTTCTCTGACTTTCATGTAAGACTTCAGAAAATCTTTTCTTCTTTTTCTACCTCTGAATACATCCTGGTACTTACACTCTAATTCAGCTTTTGACTTGAGGCTTCTGTAGAACTTTAGCGTTCTGAGCAGGCCATAATTGGTTTTACATGTTCAGATCTTCTTCTCCCTGTTATCAATCTGAGTGCTACATTTTGCATAAGCTAGAGCTTCTGAATCATTTGTAAAGGCTTCGCCAAGCAGGGTCCGTTGCAGTAATCTAGCATGGAAGTTACCAGAGGAGATGCGGCCTAACCAAAGCCAGCCAGGCATAAATTGAGCACATCCTCAGTCTCACCTGCTGAAGGTGAAAAAGCGAAGTAGAATTGTGTGTGATCAGGTTTCATGTCAATGTTAGAAAGCAGGGGTGGGGGGATGTTCCCTGTGGAATGTATATTGGATAACCTATGGGTTGAATAATTTTCTGTAAGTATAACCTTTTGGAGCCTACCCTCCATAGAGTGGAACCACTGCAAGTGGTCCCACTCTCAGTTCAGACAATTGTCCTCGGAGGATATCAAGGCTGATGGCACTGAAAACCACCTGGAGATCTAGGATGAGGTAACAGTCCCCACACCTTCCATTGTTGACCTTTTGGCTGAAACCAGCTAGCCAACTTCCTTCCTTCCTTCCTCCCTTCCTCCCTTCCTTCCTTCCTCTCCATAATATAAGACCCCCTTGTCCATATGCCTCTGTCCTTCCTTTTGCCATGCTTATTCCAGTGAAAGATGAAGGAATGGGGAGGCAGATTATCAGTGTCAGGAAGTATCTTCACCCCCCTGGGAAACAGCATTGTCGTGGTTGTGGCTGTTCACTGCCAGTCTTGTCCTTAAGCCAGTAAAGCCACCCTAGAAAGACTGCAGTGCCCAGCAAGAACTGGGATAGGAACATTGGAAGCTGCTGATATTGTGTCAGACCATCAGTCTGTCTAGCCCAGTACTGTCAACACTGACTGGCAGCAGCTGTCCAGGGCTTCAGGCAGCTTTTCCTGGCCTTCTTGGGGAAGCTGGTAAAGTATGCAAGTAAAGTATGTGTTCTAGCACGGAATTCCCTGTCGTGGTAACATCAGCCACTCAGCTTAAACTACTTCGCAACTAGCGTTTCTGTGAAGATGAATTGGGCAGTGAAAGAACCATGATGGCTGCCTTATCTTTCCTGTACAAAAAGTGGGATATAGTGTGTGTGTGTGTGTGTGTGTGTGCGCGCGCACATATGTACAGTATATGTGCCAAAGGTGGGGTATGTGGATTTCCTCCTAATTTGTCCCCTGTGATGCAAATTAACAATTGTGAGACAGTGAGTGGTCCAAGGTTAGGCACTAAGCTTCCTGGCTGAGTAGATCTATAAATGTACCAAATGAAATGAATAAAAAGCTCTGAGCTGCAGCGTGAAATGGCTCTTTGGGAGTTCCAGGGTGCTTTTTCCAGTCTGGCAAAAGATGACTGGGATTTATGACACTGAGATGTTGCCACTCGCCTAGTCATCCTGGGGCAATCGCTCCCCATCATGGGAGAGAGATCTAGCTGGTTCCTAACAGCATCCTGAAGCAGATGGCCCTGGTCAATTTAGCAGATGGTCTCCAAGAACATCCAACACCAAGAATGCCAAGAAACTGTCTGTTCGTAGTTGGAAGAGGAGATAATATCCAATTATATCTCAAAGGTGACTGCAACATTTCTCGTACTCCCAGCCTTCCTCACAGACGGCCACCCGCACAACGGCAGCAAGGCAGACATTCTCCTGCAAACCTGAAAGGAGCAGGTTAACAGATTCTGAGTTGTGTGCCCCAGTTTTTTCCTGCAGTAGATATACAAAGAAAGCTGGGCTTGCGTCACCGGGGACCTCAGCGAGGCAGCCATTACACAGTGCGCTTCAACTGAAGTCCTACTGAATCATTAATCAAGAGTGAGGGTAGGAGAGAGCAAGCCAGAGATGATCAAGAAAAGGAGAGGCAGTGGGAAGAAAGTGCTGTGTTTGTCAGTACATTTTTAAGAAGCAGCTCATTTGGATGTGTTTGAAGCTGAGCATCTCCTTACAATGGCATGCCTGAAAGAATGCCCTCTCCGTCTTCTTCATAATTCTCCTGTCGACACCTCGTGCTGACCCAGCAAACCCGGTAAAGCCATTGATTGGAGCTGGGCTGGCTCAGAGCAAGGCTCATAAAAAATGCAGGTGTCACAAAAGTGAAAGGTTCCTTCTGCACGGCTTCCTGCTGGCTTATGTAAAGCCGCCACAAAGCTGTAGAGTAGTGCCATCTCCTCAAAAGGCTTTTGTTGCTCACCGGGAGGGAGGCAGACAGGTGGACAGGCGTCGGGCTGCAGTCTTGCTGGTTTAACTGAAATCACACAGGGTCAGCTTTGCCAGAATCAGCTGCCTCTGAAAGAGGCTTTTGAGCAGACAGAGGAGCAGATTTTATGCAGGACAGTCTTCTCCTTGAAGGGCTGTCAAGTGCAAGTTGGGCTGAATTATAAATACTGATATGGATGGAGAGGAGGCACTAGGAACTACCAGCAGCAACAAGAGCCACTGTGGCGTAGTGGTTAGAAATGTGGGTCTGGGACTCTGACGATTTGGGTTCAAGTCCCCGCTCAGCCATGGAGCCAACTGAGTGACTCTGAGCCAGTCGCAGACCCTCAGCCCAACCTACCTCACTGGGCTGTTGTTGCAAGGATAAGATTGAGAGGAGGAGGGGGAAGAGGGGGAAGAGAGTTATGTAAGCCACCTTGAGTTCCCTGACAGGAAAAAAGGCATGAGAGGAATATAATAAATAACCGGTCCAGTGGTTGCACCTCTTACTGGGAGCAGGGCTGACAGCAGGCAGGCAGGGTCTGGCAGAGAGCTCACAGTCCTAGATTTGCTCCTCTCCAGCCCTGTTGCCACCTGTGTGTTCACTCCGGTCCAGCCCAGAGCAGCAGAAAGGAGCAGGAGATGCCACTGCTGCCGTGCTCTCAACTTTCAGCCTGTCAAGTCAGCAGCTGGTGCCAGTGATGAGAAGGCAGAGGAGGAGCAGTGGCAGCTGGTGACCACAGCAGGGACACTGAGGGAGGGGACTCACCAAGGTGGTCTGGCAGAAGGGCCCTCCGAAACCCAGAGCCCGCACTGACAATGCAATGCATTTCCTTTGATAGAATGCTGCTTATTTCTAAATTTGCATCCCTACATATGCGCGAGCACATGCACATGTTACACAGGTTGGTGACCTCTTTGTCTGCCCTTTTGGCAATGTGTTAGGTGGCTACCTTGACCCTGGTATACAATGCTCTGAAAGCTCTTCTTGTTCAGAATAGATTTGAATGAATGGGAGTTGGAGAAGAAGGCACTATGGCAGTGAAAGGTGTGCAGGAGAACTTGCTAGTGCATTGTGAGCTCTGAATGACTTAGCTGGATTTTCCATCCCAGGCACCAAAATGCCAGTGCTCATTCTCACAATTAATCAAATGTACCTGGCAAAAGCTTCCTCAGCTCAGCACTGATGAGAGACTGAAACGCTTATTGGAATGGTTGGTAAATTCATCTCCCCATTGCTTTCCTGGCCCGTCATCTGACTTAGGCAAAGCTGGTTGGATCCACCCACTTTTCTCCTAGAGCTAGGGAGAAACAGTGATTTGACCAAAAAAAAAAAAAAATCATGAAGTCAGCACAGCCATTTGAGGAGAAACCATTTTGTGCAATGGCCCTTCCTGCTGGCTTGATGCCATTGAATTATTTCACAGATTCCCCAGCAGCAGGGCTGTAATGGATGCAGTGCCAGCATGCTTTGACCAGCAGAGACCCTGCAGTCCTCGGTCACCCTTCCTGTCTCCAGACTTCCCTGTTACCTCTGAGCATAACTGGGCAAGGAGTGCATTTTCCCAATAGCGATGCCTTGTTCCTTGTTGTATTGAAAAAGTGGGTCTTAACTGCCTTTTCAAGACCAAGGGACCCCAACATGGAGACCAAAATCCTTCTCCTACTGGAAATGAACCCTGCATCAACACAACTGCCTAATTGTTTGGACTCTCCTTGGGGACGTGGCTAAGGGGAGTGTCACGATGAGCAACTGCACTTGAAAGCTGGCCTGTACTGATGTTTACTTGGGAGGGGCTCACCCTAGATGTTAGTGTGCAGAATTGTCCTGTTAAGTGGTGCATCATTCCTTTCCTTCCCACCTGACCAGAGAGAGAGAGAGAGAGAGAGAGAGAGAGAGAGAGAGAGAGAGAGAGAGAGAGAAGTTTAAAAAAAAGACGGCTTGGGATATCTTCTAAATTTTTGGCTCTTATAGTCTGACTCTTGCTTTACTCAGTATAAAAATAAAAAATGGCCCCATGTGCAATAAATCATTGAAGAGACATCTCTCCCATCTCCTGCTACGACCAAAGTACTTCCCCTTACAAAGCAAGGCTCTCTAGGCAACTTCAAGGGGTAATATTTCTTATGCAAGTTATACAGGTTTGGGGAAGATGGATGTGTCAACAGTATTCAGAACACTTGCTGAACACATGAAAAGCCTCATCACTGGATGTTCACTTGGAGTATCCCTAGAGAGGCTAGGCTTTTGAAAAAATACAGTGGGAGTTATTGCAGGCAGATAAGACTGGAAGCTAACATTTTGAGAGAATGCATCAACTCTTTCAGAGGATGAAACATGACTGCCCCCATCTGTACCATCCAGCCAAGCAAAACAAAATTGCTCTGAAATATCTGTAGCTTTCTGCATGGGGATGGCAAGTAGTAACCTTAAATCGAATATTTGTTGGCTCTAAAGGTCTGTTTAGGCACGGGGTCAGTTTGAAAGAGAATTCAGATAATTCATGTTTGAAGTTTATTCACTTGACACAAGTGTCATTAATTTTATTTGTCATCCCTAAAAAAAATGTGTCCAGTGGAACTAGACATGGCAGAAGACATAGGCCTGCAGCTGAATACATTGCTGCCATGGCTGGTTTCAACATGTGGCAAGACATTGTCATACAGTAATAAATATATATTTTTGCCCCACAAGCAACAATCAGTTGTATGGAAACAACAGGGGGGAGGGGGGAGGGGGGAGGGTTCTGACCAGAGGGAGAAGGGGATATGCGAAAGCCCTTTTTGGAAACAGCAACATGCTTTCCCTAAGATAAAAGCCGTTAAGGTAAAAGCAATGAGAATCCATTTCATTTCTGTGTGGGGTTATGTAGCAGGGTTCTGCCCCGTGCCCTCTGAGACAATTGGTTGTTCCAAATAAAAACTCATTTGATGAGCATTTCAGTGATCATTCTGATGCAGTCAAGAATATAACCACCACGGAGTCAATTTTAATGAGGACAGCATAGGAATATTTTAAATAAATAAGCCAGAAGAATGGAAACTGCAACAAAATGTCACTGTATGGAATGCTGCTATTCTGACTTTAAGCCAATAAGCCTTACCCTTTTTATTTTATTTCATTCATCTTCCCCTTCCGCTTTCCATTTCTTTTCTAGCAGATAGCAGATGTTCAATGACACTGATCATGCTTTCTTCTTTCTTCCAAATCTTTTTATTTATTTTCAGAAAGTACAATAAAAAGAAAAAAATATACAGGAAAGAAGGTGCCAAGGATCATTCCAGAAATTTAGCAAAGCAACTCTTCATTTAAGCATATTTATGATAAACAAACATCTCTACCAACCACCTTCCCATGCTTTTTAAAAACACACACACTCACGCTTCCTTTCCACCCATCCTCTTTCCTCTTCCAACTAAATCCATACCAGGGTACTGTATGGCATACCACCACCACCAAATAATGATAACTGTCAGAGTAATTTTTCTACCTTCAGGGATTCAGGTAGAATCCAAATTAAGAACCTAAAAGAGCAGTGCTGGATCAGACCAAGGCCTATTTAGTCCATCATTCTGTTCACACAGTTGCACAAGTGTGAGACAAGATGAGAAAGAGAAATTGTGGATGTCCACTATGGGCTGACACAGCTCCAAAAAGCTGGAAAAATGGCCCATCTAGAAATAGCCGGTACAAAGGTCCAAGTAGGCACCTAAAGCCAGCTGAGGCATCCTGGGAGTTGGAGACCCTTTTTCTGTCTAAATTTGCCTAGGGCTGCACTGTAAATATACCGGCCAGAGAACTCTGATGCCACTTCATGAGGTATCCTGTGTCTTCATTCCTAGTACGGGCAAACAATTCAATTTAGATGAATTTCCTAATCAAGGGTGTAGGTAAAAAGGTGCAGCTGAGACTTTTTCCTTCTAGTTCCATTTGTTGTTGTTATTACAGTCTTCCAAACATTGATTCATTTTGGGTCATTCTGAGGGAAAATATGTTGGCCCTCACTGCTAGTTACTATTTGCCCCTGGTAGATCAAATGACGATGAGATATCTGAGAAATTCTGGAAAAATCAAATGGCAGCTCGTGGAGTGACAAGTGGGGAAGAATGAAAATGTGAACATATCCAAGAATGAAAATATCCGTTCCTTAGCCACAGCATTTGTTTTGTAGTGAATGTTGAATTGAATGGGCTGAGAAGCTACTAACTGTCATGCAAACCATTCTGGGCTTCACATCACGTTCTGCTGCATTTGGCTTACTTGCCAAACAGACTTGCATCTCCCTCTTGTGGTTCTCCAGGCCAGCCAGCATCTTCTGGTTGCCATGCAGATGCTTTTCATTTCTGTCACCACAGCAGAGATGCATTATCCTATTGTGCTGATGCTAGTACCCTGAATGTCACCATTCACATAGTACAATGATTAACTAGCAAGGAAGCAGAGAGTAATATTTGGATTTATCTCATTGAATTGCAGGAGCCAGATGCAGGATTTGGAGAAGTTCTCCTTTCCATCAGCTATCTGCCTGCAGCAAACCGTCTGCTTGTAGTGCTCATAAAAGCCAAGAATCTCCATTCCAAACAGCTGAAAGAGCTCCTCGGGAAGGGTGAGTGAGAAGGAGGAATGTGAACAAAAGGAATGTTTTATTTGCTTGTATCCATTTTTTTTTAAAAGTAAGCAGAGTTTGACAGCTGACTGTCAAAACTAGGGGTTGTTTCAAAAGGTGAGAAACAGGTGTATTTAGACAGAAACATACTTCTAAGTCTGTTTTAGTCCAAGATTCCAGTGCCCCATTCAAACTCCCCTTTTTAAAGGGACCCCAAGCTTTGACAGGCACCTGTCCAACTTGGTTTTCCTTTGAAAAATGGGAAGGGGCAATTTTATCTTTACAGAAATGTGTGGCTTGGGGTGAAGGCCATCATTTGTCTCCATCAGACATAACAGGGGGAGGTGGGGAGCAGAAAAAGATCAGGATCTTGTGGAGGATGGAGTTTAAGTTGTGAAAACACCTCCTTCTTAGCAAAAGAGCCATCACAGGTCAGCTTCCTCTTGAAAGCGTGACTCCCACTGATCTGTCAAGGGAAACCAAGGGACTGGGGAAATGGATTTTGAGCCTCTTCTCGCCAGTGCCAGAGAGGAGGATCTCCTGCCCCTTGGGAGCAAGCACCTCCTGGGACATTGCCTAGCTCTGGCCTGAAATCCAAGTGTTGGCATATAGGTGAATGAACACTTTAGCATACCTGTGAATTAAAAATAAAGGAATGAATGCTGGTGTGTGCACATTCCTGCAAGCCTTTTTGAAAAAAAAGGAAAAGGTTGGCAGCTGCAGGCAACCTCCGCAAGGCACAGCAGGAGCACCTTGAAGGGACAGCTCAACGCTGCCTGAAGGGGGATTGTGAAAGCTGCCTTGACAGGTAAGCTTTTGTGATCTCCGCTGTAAAGTTTAAAAGACAAAATGAGCTGTTTCTCGGGAAGCATAAAGCAGCTCAGGGTGGTGGTGGGGTGGGGTGAAGGGACAACTTGTTTCTGCCAGTGTGAGGCAGAAGGGGGAGGGGGGCAACAGCCCACAAAGTGCCCAGTTCACTCACACCACGTGGCAAGTGCAACAGTGAGAGTCAAACCTGATCAGTGGGAGGGCCAGGCGGGCAAGGTAAATTATGGCCATATCCACTGCCAGCCCAGGACTGGTGGCAGACACCCCCCTTTGCCCCATGCTTCTCTCAACAGTGAAAGCATCGCCCATCCCTGTCCTATCCAGAGGCTAAAATGATTCATCTTATGCCCCTCATGGGAGTATCCAGAGGATTATACGCACAGGTATCTGCTTGGCTGCTCATCTTCGGTCAACATGGGGATTTACTCATGTGGAATGAGTCAGATGGTGGATGTCACACTTTTCAGAGCTGAAACTTCAGTGGTGCTATGGCGTATGAAAGGTGATATGTGTGGGCGTTTGCACAACTTCATCCTATCTCATGAATAAATGTTAATATTGTATAAGTATGTTATGCTCAATGTCAGAAATTCAGGGACAGACTGAGTTACGAAGTAAGTGGTGATTCATGATTCTACTTCCTCCTATAGGAAGTTTGATTTTATGTCGGGGTGCAGAACCTCAGGCCTGGAGGGCAAATTCAGCCTTTCAGGGGTCCCAAACTGGCCCTTTGGGGCTCCCTATAAGGGCCCTGCAAACACCTCTTTGGCCAGTCTTTTTTCCCTGACAACTGATAGCTTTTGGGCAGTCAAAACAGGCATGTCAGACCATTTCATGCCTGCCTTCTCTACAGCAACTTGGTCCAGTCCCTTTCTGCTGTTTTCCAGCTCTTGTATCACAAGGGCAATGGACTACGCAGTCTTTCTCAACTTGGGGACCTTTACACAGATGTTTTGGATTATAGCTCCATTATTTCTGCCCACTGGCTATGCAGGTTGGGGCTGATAGGAGTTGCAGCCCAAAAGACCTGGAGCCAATCTAAGGAAGCACAGACTATGGAAAAGAAAAGCATCAGAAGGAGTTTATATCAGCACTCTGTTCCTAGGTGCTCCTCAGACCTCTGCCCTGTGCCTTTTACGTGGATGAGGCAGATACACAAAAAGAACCGGCATCTACCACTGTAGCAGTGGTGGCCCTCAGTGACAACTGGCATTTTCCAGTAACTGTTAAGTTTTTAGGAGGCTGGGAGGAAATGTCAGCGAATGCCAACACGTGAATGACCAGATTTTTTTGGTTTGTTTCTGCAGATATTTCTGTCAAAGTGACTCTAAAGCACCAGTCCCTGAAACTGAAAAAGAAGCAGACAAAGAGAGCAAAGCACAAGATCAACCCAGTCTGGAACGAGATGATTATGTTCGAGGTGCCCCATGATCTGCTTTGTGCCTCCAGCGTGGAGCTGGAGATGCTGAGCCAGGATGCCGATGGGCAGAACCACTTACTGGGCCAGTGCAGCCTCGGCCTGCACGCCACCGGCTCAGAGAGGAACCACTGGGAGGAGATGCTGAGGAACCCCAGGAAGCAGATTGCTATGTGGCACCAACTTCACATGTAGCTGCAGAGGTAGAAGCTGGAAAAAATCAGATCTGGGACAACATCCAGAAAAACATGAATTGCTCTGTTCACATGATCAAGCACAACGTTCATTATATTGTTGACATCCTCGGTGGGTTGCTACTAAGAGACTATTTTAGAAATGGGCAAGTAAGCTGGCAATGTTTCATTGATCCATGATTGGCATGCAGGACCTTTTTCTCACCTTTTAATTTAGGCCCCTGTACCAGGAATTAATGTTACTTTTATTAATAATGAACGTGTAATTTGTGAAAAGGTGAGTTGAAAGGAAGGACATGGCTTCTGAGTTGATTCAAGGCACAAAGAACAAAAGAAGTGCCATGCTGGATCAAACCAAAGGGCTGCATGGCTCTGTACATTGTTACTATCTATGGCTACCTGAAATGGATAACCTTAGAAAGCTAAGAAGAAAGGTTTATAACCCAAAGATAGACAAAAAAGAAACAACAGAGCAAAGGGTGGGAAAATGGAGGAGGCATAAACAGAGGAAGAATACAGGTCACATGTACTTAGGCTTAAGGCCACTCTATCTATCTATCTATCTATCTATCTATCTATCTATCTATCTATTAGATCTATATCTTGCTTTTTTCTTATAACAAACTCAAAGTGTCTTGCATCATTTTCTTTCTCCTGCTCTCAGCCTTATCCCCACAACAGCAACCCTGTGAGGTAGGTAGGGCTGAGAGTCTGAAACTGGCCCAAAGTCACCCAGTCAGCTCCATGGCTGAGCAGGGACTATGACCCAGGTGGCCTGAGTCCCAGACCCACGTTCTTAACCACAACACCACACGGCATCTCAAATTAGATGCAACATTGATTTCATAAGGTGCACGTTTGCTGTTGCGCTAAAGGCACCCATGTGGGTCCTCAGTGCTGGCTCTGGGTTTCTAAATGCCTTTGAGCAGGTTAATTTCAGTGGGCTCCCATCCTCAGTAATTCTGCCTCCTCACCACCAGCACCCCTTGTTCTCATTAGTGCTACCGTGGGGTGAACACCAGAGAGAAAGCAGACAGTGGCATCTACAGCTCCTCCCCATTACCACTGTTGCCTGGGCCTCAGCAACAGGCAAGAAGACAACAGGCTGCAATGATGGCAGGGCAAGCAAGTCCAGGGCTCTTGTTAGTGGGCCCCTGCTGAGGTGTGGGCCCTCAGCAGGAGCCCCACCGTGCCTATCCTGGCCAAGGCTCCACTTGGTTGCTTGGTGGTGGGGACAGTGGCAGTGGAATTGGTACTCTTTGGTCCCTAAGAAAGAATTCCTCTCTGAAGGAGGATTTGCATTGCACAGATAACTCCTCCTCATGCCTCCTTGGAAGAAGCGCCCCTTGAAATGCAGGCAGCAGCTTTGGAAAATTGACTGTTGTGGCATTTTTCTCATGCTCTCCATGCTGTGGCCCCAAGCCTGAACATGGTTCCCCTTCTCTGCTATTTGCACAACCAAGGCTGTGGATCCTAACTGTTGTTGTGGCTGTTATATGCTATCAAGTTATCTCTGACTTGTGGTGACCCATTGCCTTCAAAATGCTTTGTCCTGTTCAGCACTTTTAAACCCAAAGCTGTGGCTGCCTTTGTGGAGTCCATCCATCGCATCATTGATCTTCCTCTTCTTCTGCCTTCAACTTTCCCTAGCATGATTGCCTTCTCTAGTGAGTCTTGTCTTTTCACAATATACTCAATATGACAGTTTCAGTTTCTCCATATTTGCTTCCAAGGAAGTTCTGGCTTGATTTGATCTAGGACCCACCTGTTCTTCTTTCTGTTGGTCCAGGGTATTTGCAAAGCTCTTCTTCAGCACCAAGTTTCAAATCCATCATTTTTCCCCTGCCAGCTTTCTTCATATATGATGACTGGGGCCCTAAATTCAATCATTTAGGATGGAGGACAAGTGCCTGGAGAGCAGCACTTGTGAAAGGGTACTTGTCGACTGCAGGCTGAACATGAGCCAGCAGTGTGATGCAGTGGTTAAGAAAGCAAATGCCACCCTTGGATGTATAGCCAGAATCATGGCTTGAAGATCTAGGGAGGTGTTGATACTGCTCTAACACAACTCTGGTGCACCCACAACTGGAGTACTGCATCCAGTTCTGGGCTTCACATTATAGGAGAGACATAGCTAGGTTAGAATCGGTTCAGCACAGGGTCACAAGAATGGTAGCCGGGTTGGGAGGGATGACATATGAGGAATGATTGAGAGAACTGGGTCTTTTCAGCCTGGAGGAGACTCCAAGGGGATCTTATAATGACTTATAGGTATGTGAGGGGATGTCATGTGGAGGAGGGCCATGACCTGTTCTTCCCTGCAGCAGAGGGAAGGCCGCGTTCCAATGGGGCAAAGCTCAAGGAACCAGGTTTCAGGTAGGATGTCAGGAAGTACTTCCAGATGGTTAGACCCCCTAGCATAAGGAATGGGCTTCCAAGGGAGGTGGTTGAGGCCCCATCAGTGAGGGTGTTCAAGGAAAGATTGGACAACCACATGTTAGGGATTATATTAGGAGAGCCAGCTGGAGCCAGGCATCAGACTGGATGGCCTAGGAGGCCCCTTCTGACTCACCTTTTTCTGTTTCTATGTTTCTAACTTCACATCTGTAGGGATATTAGGGATGTTGTGTCTAGGGGGTTGGTTCTACAGGAAAGGTGAGCTTTAAGGGAGGATTTGAAGGAAATAAGGTGATCTTACTAAGGTATTCCAGGCATGAGGTGAGCAAAGGGGAAGGGCAGAATCATTTCAGGAAATGGTAGAATTTTGGATGGCTGAAGGTGGTAGGATGGATAATTGAAAGTCATAGATGGGGAAGTGTCAGGCAATAGAAAGTTCTCTTTTTTTTAAATAAATTTTATTCTTAAGAAACCTAGCAAAAAAGAAACTAAAACAACATCAATCATTGAGAACATTGGAGCTGCTGGGTCAGCCCCCCACATTTTTTCTTTTTATGTTAAACTATAAACATATTTAAATCTATGCATAGTCCCGTTTCTCTAGCCAATGATTTAAAAAAATCCCAAGTTTGATAGGAGTCTGGATCTTCTTTCTCCTTCAGACACAAAGTCAATCTGTCCACTTCTGCACAGTACAAGATCTTTTTTAGAATCAGTTTGTCGGTAGGTGGCTCTTCACTCTTCCAATGTTGGGCAGCAATAGAAAGTTCTGAGGGTTAGCGTGAAGAATTTGTACAGGACCCAGGAGAACAAAGGAAGCTAGTATGAACATTATTATTAAATTTATATGCTGTTCAACTGACAGGTGCTCTAAGGATAGTTTTAATTAAAACATATGATAAAATAACAACCAAAGCAATACACACAGTAATGAAAATGTCAGTATTCAAGTATTATAAAGCCAGTAATAAAGAGCACCAGATTAGAAATTAGATGTGCCAGTTTATGTTTGCTTAGTTAGAAAAAAGTCCTATGAGTCCTAGTATTCTTCAGCCAGCCAAATGCCTGTTAGAGCAGAAAGGTTTTAATCTGTTTAGTAAATATATACAACAAAGAGACAGGTGGATTTTCCTGGAAAGGGCATTTATCCATCATTATCGTATCAGCACTGACCTGCAGATAGTCCTGTTCTTAATTGTGGAGTGTCTCCTGGAAGATTCTGGGCTTGTTTTGAGATGTACATGAGTTTGAAGGAAGATGCTGATGAGTGTTTAAGACCTTTTCATGTCTATGAAAACATTTCAAATTGAAACACCTGGAAAAACAGTTGGAAAAAAGTTTTTTTTCCTCAAGCATGAATGTCACCAACTTTTCAAGTCAAACAGAAGTCCCTGTATGCATTTTCCCCCATAGCAGGCCATATCAGAATGAAGATCAGGGATGAATTTACGGAAATGTCTAATGTAAATACGAGTGCAAATATTGTTGGGGTTTTTCTTTTTTAATCAGAAGGTGAATAATTCACCTATTTGCTTTTAATTTTTTAAAATTGCTCTCTTAGCTTTCACCCATGTAAAATATCTACATCAGTGAGATGTAATCAAACCTATATCTTTTCTATATTATTCACCAGGGGAAGAGAGGAATAGAGTAGAGGGTTAGAAGCACTCTAAACTTTGAGATGTGGGCTGATCAAGGTTGGAAAGGTGACCAGGAATGCCTTGTTAGAATGTGTGCAGCAGCATGAAAGACAAAGATTGATCTTCACCCAGCCTTTATAGCACAGGGATTACGGTATTCCACTTGCTTTTAAATTTATTGCATTTATCACCAATATGTCCTGTGGAGAGCTCATAGAGGTATGTGTGTGGTTAGTAGGGCTCATATCTGCTTGGTTTTGACCATAGCGCAGAGTAAGGTACTCCAAAATGCTACAGTGCTTGTTCCAGTGCAGGATCAGGGTGAGTGGGAAAGGAAAGGAAAGGAAAGGAAAGGAAAGGAAAGGAAAGGAAAGGAAAGGAACGGGCACAAAATACATCACTTTAAAGACATACTTAGAGTTGTCATTATTTTTAATTTTGTTCATTCTAGAATGAGTGCAAGGTCCTTGTTCTGGATCAGTTCCCTGGCTTGGGAGTTAGGGGTTCTTTTCTCCTTTACCCTTTCGGTGGTCCAAAATCTACCTGGGTCACCTGCATCTGCCATATGCATTGCCAAAAAGTGAGCCTGTGAAACAAGCAGATCTCCATTTGGCAACATAAGCTGCAGGTCTCTGACCCAGATCAGGGGAGAAAGCATTAAACACTCCCTGATACCTAAACTAGGGTTTTAACCCAGACTGGGGGCTCTGCATTTATTCTAGAATCAAAGAAAAAGATAAAGGGCAGAGCTGCTTGCTGTCTTTAAAGTAATTCACTCTAAGCAATGTGTACTTTGTATTTAATAATGGCAGTAGTGTTGGGGATGCAGGTAGGAGACTCCAGCTGGGGACCACCCTCAACAGCTTTTTACCTTTCTGGTTTTACTTATTTCATCCATTTATATCTGAACACTTTGTTCCCCAATGGCTTAGATTAAGCTCATGAAGCAGTTCAACAGTTTTCC